CCCCCCCCACACCTAGTGCCGCCACTGTGGGTGTGTAATATAGCTAATTCTAGCCAATACTGCGGATATTGAAAAGACGGCGCAGGAAAATTTGTTCTACAGTACTTACGTAAAGGCTGGTTTACATTGTCAAAGTTTCTGTGATCACAGTAGGAATTTTGCATATAGGTACTGTACAGTAAATTCTATATATTCTATATGCAAGAAATGTTTGAGGGAACTAACTTAGTGTTTAACATTGAGTCAGTTCCTTTGAACATTTCTAACAAATCATGAATTTTTTCTGTGTTGTTGTAATGTACTCAGGTGAATATGATGCTTGTGATGTTATACTCTGAGTGTATATCCACACCGCGGGCAAGCTTGAAAAATATGCCTGGCCACGGTGGGAATCGAACCTACGAGGCTACGACCTTTGGAATACTAGCCCAATGCTCTGCCAACTGAGCTACACGGTCAGGTCGGGTATGTGATATTTCGGAGTCTAGTTCCTTCGATATCGATGTAATCTAGTAATCATGAATTTTTTCTGTGTTGGTGTAATGTACTCAGGTGAACTCAGGTGAATATGATGCTTGTGATGTTACTCTGAGTGTATATCCACACCGCGGGCAAGCTTGAAAAATATGCCTGCCCACGGTGGGAATTGAACCTTTAGCATTGGGCTAGTATTCCAAAGGTCGTATACGGGTTCGATTCCCACCGTGGCCAGGAATACTTTTCAAGCTTGCCCGCGGTGTGGATATACACTCAGAGTAACATCACAAGCATCATTTCTAACAAATCCTTCAAAACTTTAGAATTCACCTATAGTATGCAAAATTCTTACTGTGATCGCAGACACTTTGACAGTGTAAACCAGCCTTACAAAATGTTTACTTATTTCGAAGTGTTTTCAAATCACTAATCATGATTTACACTTTACCACCGTATCGCAACAATGAAACATGGGTTTTTTAAGAAAAATATTTCATGACAATATATAGTCGAGCATGTTCTCGTATCACTACATATACTTACTTCAATTGTCTCTGTGGGTCTTCCGCGCCATGATGCCAGGATGGTATTGTTCCACGTCCGAACAAACCTGTGTACTTCCACAACCCACTCGTGTCCACTGCAAAAATCCACAACTTCCTCAATGGCATCATTTACTAGTTCTTCTTCTTTACGTATAGCTTGCAGGATTTCCTCACTGAAAAAGAAAATATTTCACAAAAACTAAATTTTGCTTTCCAGTTAAACGTTTGTTATCAGGGCCGTGCCACTTGGGGGTGGGGGGTGTATCACC